ATGAAAACGGCCGCCAGATCTTTGGCCCCGATTACTGGATCGTTTTCGAAGGGAGGCCCGGGTTCAAATCCTTGCGTGGCCGTGATGTTCACTAATAAACCTGGCTTTGATGTGTGCTATCTCTTTCAGTCTGGACTACCCTACAGGGTGGATGCAAAGGGGGGGTGGAAATAAGATGTGATAATGTTTGGAGTAGATTGAGACCCTGGTCTGAGGCTTACCTTCTGAAGGTCCAGCGCCCTGTCCTTGGAACAGGGCCCTTTCTGTGGCAGCCCCAAAGTTATGCACCGTGCTTTCCTGGGAAAAATGCATGACAGAGTGAGCTCCTGTCTCTGGTCCCAGCTCCTGCCGACCTAGCAGTTCGAAAGCAAGAAATTGCAAGTAGATAAATAGGTACCGCTTCGGTGGGAAGGTAACAGCGTTCCGTGCGCCTCGGCGTCTAGTCATGCCAGCCACATGACCACGGAGAAGTCTCCGGACAGCGCTGGCTCTTCGGCTTGGGAACAGAAATGAGCACCGCAACCCTAGAGTCGGATTCGACTGGCTTTCGAGCAAGGGAAACCTTGACCGTTACCTTTTCCCTGGGAAACCCCTTTCTCTCCTTCCCCTCTTGCTTGCCAAAAGAAATATTCCAAGCTGTTGGAAGCTGCTGTAAGCTAATAGTTGGAGGATTAAGATTTTTAATCGTTCGGAAAGCGGAGTTTCCTCTCCTCCGTGCCTCCTCACTGGAGTCGACAGCTCTGGGTTTGGAAATCCCTGGAGATTTGAGGGGAGGGAGGGGAGGGGCCTTGCTAGGATATAATGCCATCCAGGCCACCTTTCGAACGCAGCCATTTTTCCCCAAGAGAAGTGGAATAAAAGTTTTAAATAAACAGATAAAACGATAAGCAGTCTATGTCATCTGGAGATGAGACATACCTAAGGGACCGCCTTTCCCCATATGTTCCCCTGCGAGCACTACGGTCGGGGACGCAACATCTCCTGACGACTCCAGGCCCCAAGGAGGTCAGGCTGGCAGCTACCAGGGCCAGGGCTTTTTCGGTGGCGGCTCCTTCCTGGTGGAACGAACTCCCGCAGGAGATCCGGGACCTGCGGGACCTTGTGCAGATCCGCAGAGCCTGCAAAACGGAGCTCTTCCGCCAGGCCTTCGAGTAGGAGCCGCCACTATCGTACCATCACTATCGTACCATCACTGATTTACCATCACTATTAACTGACCCTGGGAAGAGAGAACGACAGTGTCACGTGGAACTGACAGCACTGATTGAGTGTACCCTCCTTGAGACGCCATCTTTATGGAAGATTATTCTGGAACATCTAGAGCACCTGATATGTTGTAATACTGTCGTAATGGTTTTACACAGGGCTATTTTTGGGCAGGAACGCACAGGAATGGAGTTCCGGCTGGCTCCCGAGTTGGCCACACCCAGCAGGAACTCATTAGCATAACAGGCCACACCCAACAGCAGAAACTCATTAGGATTGGCCACATTAGGGGTGTGTGGCCTAACATGCAAAGGAGTTCCTGCTACCAAAAAAGGCCCTGGGTTTGGACAACAGACAAGGTAAGCAGAATAAGAAGCAAAAGGTGGGTGTGGCTGGATCACCTGGTAACATGGGGTATGTGGCCTAATATGCTAATGAGTTTCTGCTGTCAGGGGTGTGGCCTAATATGCTAATGAGTTCCTGCTGTTGGGTGTGGCCTATTATGCTACTGAGTTCCGGCTGGGCTTTTTCTACAAAAAGAGCCCTGGTTTTACATGGTTTTAACTTGTTTTTATGTGTTGGCTTATGCCTATCTGTGAGCTGCCCTGAGCCCGCGTTGTGGGGAGGGCGGGCTAGAAATTGAAATTCTAAATAAATATAAATTAAAAATGAGCTGTAATCCCAAGAGATCTCCAGACCCCACCTGCAGGCTGGCAACCCTACGCCTTTGCCCCTGGCTTAAACTTGCCTTTTGCTTAGGGACGTTGACAAATATTGCAGGTTCGCGAAGAGGTTTCTGTTCTGAAGCAGCCCCCAAGAACTTGTTTCTCCTTCCGATAAAGCAAGCTGGGGTCCCATTCATAGAAGGGACCTTGCAGGTCATCTAATCCAACCCCCGGTACTCTGCAGGAGCATAGCCGAAAGACGGTCGCCCAGCCTCCGCTTGAAAACGTTGCAGCGAAGGAGCATCCACCACCTCCCGAGGCAGTCTGTTCCACTGCTCAACCACTCTGACAGTTAGGACGTTTCTCCTGATATTTAGCCGGTATCGACTCCCTTGTAATTTCCACCCATTAGATCTAGTCTAGCAATCCGGAGCAAGAGAGAAGAGATCTGCTCCATCTTCTGCATGACAGCCCTTCTGAGCGGAGTAAGATTCAAGGGACCTCACAGCTCCCTAGGCGAAAGCTCTGCCCCACCCGGGAAGATTTATAGCCCTTCCAGCTCCCAGGAAGCCAATGGCTGACCAGAATGGGCGGGGCCACTGTGGAGCCTATCACAGGCCTGCACACAGATCTGAGGGTTAGCGGTTCTAGGCCCAGCGGCTGCTGTTCTTGCACCAGGGAATTATTTGCAGTTCTCTGTAACAAAACACACCTCTCTCCTTATGGCAGTGGTGTCAAACATGCAGCCCGGGGGCCGGATTGGGCCCCCGGAGAGCTTCTATCAGGTCCGCACTGGAACTGGCTGTCTTCTGCTTCTTCTTCCGGTTCTGCCACTGCTGCGTCATCGTAGGTTTGCCGTTCACAGATACACACCTGAACAGCATACTCAGGATTGTAACAGCACAGACATTTTGATGCAATAATTCAGAGCAAGAGGTGTCAATTCCCACAACAGTCCTCCCCACAACAGACACCCTGTAAGGTAGGTGGGGCTGAGAGAGCTTTCTCAAGGACTGCCCTTGAGAGAACAGCTCTGAAAGAACTTATGACTAACCCAAGGTCACACCAGCAGCTGCATGTGGAGGAGTGGGAAATCGAACCCGGTTCTTCCAGATTAGAGTCTGCACTCCTAACCACGACACCAAACTGGCTCTCTTGTGAGGGAAAAGGAGAGAACTCTGTACACCGCACTGATCTCCTTGAGGAGGGAGGATAAAAACACATGAGATGGGGTAATACAGATTGCTGTGAGAGAGGGGGATAAAAGCCCTGAGCAGTGGAAAAGATACTCAACCTCCCCGGGATGCCTTCAAGATCTTTGGAAAAGGAGATTGCATGACTGAGGGGGCTACCACTGAGGGGGCCCTGTCCTTGGCAGCCATCAAGCAAGCCGGGAGGGGAGGAGGCTGAAGGCATAGCAAGGAATCCGGGGGCGGTTGAAGCAATCAAGCAGTTTTGTGTGGGAACCCGGCAATTGCCAGGCATTTAAAAAGAGCGTTAATTGCACTCATCGGGGGGAAAGGGGTGATGATTCACATTATTTCCCAGATAGATATTTTCAAATGTTGCTTTATCTATTGCGGGTCACCAAAACCAAGAATTTAGCTTGCAATTACTCTGGGAGATAGATATCTATCTGCATTAAAAGCTTTAATCTCCTGGCGGCTTCCATGGCAATTAGACGAGCCGCCCAAGGAATTTCAAAGCTGAATCGACTCGGGCTTTCCGATCACGTCTGAACTGGAGGCCCCGTGGGGCAGGAGGGAAAGAACGGGCGGTTGTGGAGACCCAGCCGTTGCAAACTCACCGCAGATCCAGAGCAAGAGAGCTCTCTCTCCGAGCCTGGCATCTGGATAAAAATAGCCGGCTGTCTGCGGTCTAATGATTCTACTATTAACAATGTTCAGACCCAGTAGCGCAGGGTGGCGGCGGGGGGCTCCTGTCTCACAAAGACCGCATTTGGCCACTTGGAAATGACTTTGTTTATCGGCACTTATCTCGCCTCGGCCTTGACTTCAGTGGTCTCTAACAAAACAATGGAAAGGTGGGGGGGAAGCAACGCCACTGCATGATGAAGAACCCAGTGGGAAAACTACCGAGGACTCGTGGAAATACAGAGCTTAGCACGCGGGTTTCAGGGCCTAGCAGACTTTCAAGTCAAGATCAGAGGGGGTTAGGGAACCTCCTTTCAAAGAGGGGGACCCCCCTGTTGAGCCCAGGAAGATTCACCCCTCGGGAAGAATTTGATTTTCTCAGCCCCCGCTGCTAGACCCCCAAACAGGAGATACCCCTTACACAAATCAAACCTGAGGCTTTATTTCTCCCACACACTTCATGCCATTTTCTTCTTGTTGATCTGGATTTTCCCCAGGAAACATATATAGTTTTCAATGCAAGTCGATAAACCAGCGTTATACATTACATTACACAGATAGGGCACGTGTAGCGACGTATTGTCTAGGTAAGTACTACTGGGAATATTAAAAGCCAAACCGGTTATAGAATCTTAGAATCATAGAGTTGGAAGGGGCCATACAGACCGTCTAGTCCAACCCCCTGCCCAAGGCAGGACCAGCTTAAAGCATCTCTGACAAATATCCTTCCAGCCTCTTCTTGAAAGCTGTCAGTGAAGGGGAGCTCACCACCTTCCTGGGCAACTGATTCCACCTTTGAACCACTCTGACAGTGAAAACGTTTTTCTTAATATCCAGTGGATACCTTTCTGCATGCAATTTAAACCCGTCGCTTCGGGTCCTCTTCTCTGCTGCCAACTGGAGCAGGTCCTTGCCCTCCTCCAAATGACAGCCTTTCAGATATTTAAAGAGAGCAGTCATGTTCCCCCCTCAGTCTCCTCCTCTCCAAACTAAACATTCCCAGGGCCCTCATCCTTTCCTCGTAGGGCTCGGTCTCCGGACCCCGATCATCCTCCTCGCTCTCTTCTGCACCCTCTCGATTTTGCCCGCATCCTTTCCGAAGTGAGTCCTCCAGAACTGCACACAGGACTCCAGGTGCGGCCTAAGGCAGTCTACAGAGGGGCTATGACCTCCTGCGATTTCGATGCTGTGGCCCTTTTAATACAGCCCAGTTGCATGCACAAGACGGCAGAGGTCTGGAAGCCCTATTGGGGATCCGTGGCCCAGACTCTGCTGAGGTGACCTGTGCGAGAGAAGCGGCCGACGATTTCTTGCAACGCTTTTGGATTTTATTTCAACCAAGGGACGGGAGGGACAGAGGTGGGGGAATAAATACTAATGGGGTTGTATTCCACATCGGCATCAACGAGTGACATTTCCTAAGACTCTGGGGTTACTAACGTCTGCCCCCCCCCCGCCGACTGCTACTGGTAACCGGCTAGTCTCAGGACGGTGGGGTATCTGCTACGGTGGGCCATGCATTTCTGCCGGTCGATGAAGAGGCTGTTGGCTTTCACGGCAATCTCCTTCTCCAGACTCATCCGGGTGTCCTCCAGATTCCGCAGGGACTGCTCCGCGTCTAAAAGCTTCTTCTTGAGAGCCTCGATGGACTCCGTCAGTTCTTCCACTTCACTGATCAGCCTGGGTAAATCGGTAAACAGAGAGAGGAACGGATGAAGCCGCCTTTGACTTAGCCCGGCATTGTCCAACCGGATGGGCAGCCGCTCTCCGGAATCTTTCCCAAAATGCCCGTCACCTGCCCGTTTAACTGGAGACGGAGCTGAGGACCTTCTGCTTGAAAGGCAGGCGCTCCTCCTGAAATTCGTGGCGGCAGAAAGTGCTATCTTATTGACTTACAGCGACCCTGTAGTAGCCAGGACTGACCCTACTTAACTTGGGGGTGGTTTACAGGCACTTAAAATTTTAAATGTAAAATTAGTAGAGAGAAAAATGAGTATGTTTGACTCAGTTAATAGAAATGAAATTGAAGTAATGACTTATTGTAACTAAGCTTGTTGGAGATCTCCACTCGTGGGTTTTTAGATAGTAGTGGGTTTCTTTACATTGTCCCTGTATGTGTAGTTCCCTATATCCTTTTTTCCTTGTAGTATTTGTAGAGATATAAAAATAATTTAAAAATCCCCTCTGGGGGAATTAAAAAAAAAAAGGATTAGAAAGAGGAAGGAAAGATATGGGGCTCTCTCGTTTGGGCCTTAGCAAATTTCTACTCTCTGCCTTGAACCTGGAAGATGGACGGTTTTGCCCCACTCGGTTGATTTCGCAAGCACTGCTAATGTCACGCTGGGGAGCAAACCAAAACGTGTCCGGCAACCTGACCTGGATGGCCCAGGCAAGCCCGATCTCGGAAGATCTCGGAAGATAGGCAGGGCCGATCCTGGCAAGTACTTGGAAGGGTGCCCTCCAAGGAATACCAGGCAGATAATATCAAGCCACCTCTCTGAAATGTCCAAACCCCACCAGGGGTCGCCAGAAGTCACCATGACTTCCAGGCTCGCAAGCACATACGTACACACATGCACACGCAAAAAAACAACCCCCCAAAACCCTGTGTCCTGCAATGTTCACACTGTGCTTTATGCAGCTACACTGGCACCAAATGTCATCCCATGACAGCTTTGCCTACCTACCTCCACGTGGGCTATTTCATTCTATCTGCAAGGGTGAGGGGAGACGCATCCGGCATTTCAGCCTTAACGGGAGGCAATGATTTGCGCCCTGCCACAACCTTCTTTTTTTAACTTTTCAAGGACATTTTAGCCGTGGATTGTGGGCAGTTAAAAACACATTCTGTAAAACGCTACGCCTCGAGTACCCGTTTCTGTGTCAGCAAGCTGCCAAAGAGTTTCTGTTCTCGTCTTCACGCATGCGCATTCCTTTCCTTTCACCTAATTGCAGCTGTAACACACCATGTATCTTTCAAGGCCACAGGAGGAGTAACTAGGGAGATTGCTTGGCTTAGCTTTGGCTACATCAGGATGGGCCGTGGGAAGCTCATACCTGTTTTGGTTCAGGGGACGGTTGGTTCTCAAGCCTCCTGGCATGTGCGGGAACCACCCCTATTGGGCATTGTTGCTTTGAATGTACTGTAACCCTATATGTGCATAGCAGACCCGTTATTCCTAACAGTGTTCGTGTTCATGCATCTTTGGCTTCAATAAAAGTATAACCTTTCCTGCAAAGTGTGTACTCCGTTGTTGCTGTGGGTCCTGACATTCTGTTAGAGTCAATTTCCCAAGAAATATTTTTTTTCTTCTGTCTCTTGGGGGGGGGGGGGTTCCCCCGCAGAGAACCCAAAGAGAACTACGAGGATCAAGTCCGCAGATGCATCTCCCGCCAACCAGGTCACCAACTCCCATGTACAACATTTAGACTCGATATGCTGGGACAGTCCTGTTCCTTCTTTGCTTCCTTGCTCATTCCATGGGTCGCCCTGGCAAAACCTAACATCTTGCGTTTAAAAAGACAGAAAAACTCCTCGATGAAATAGTACCCCCCCAGGGGGAAGAGGGTTTCGACTGCATTCCTAAAGTAATGGCTCGTCCGCCTGCTTTCTAGCTACATTCTGGAGATGTTTACTATGAATTGGTCTGGCTGCTACCTCTCATAATGCCAGCTAATGTGTCTCTGCGTCAGTTGGACTCGGATGATAGCGGACAGACCAACCTCCAGAGGAATTTCCCTCTGGGGCCTTTATAAAGGGACAGCAGAAAAGAAAACTGGTCAATATCGTCTCCCACATCCAGAGATCACACACAGCAACAATTATCGAATGGGACATTAGACTATTTCCCACTGACAGAAGCCAGCAGTGTATTTTGAAATCGCCTGGCGTCTGGCTGACTATGGAAAGGGGGGTTGCGTATGGCTGTTGGAGACGGGAACATTTATATGTGCTGGAAATATAGAGTTTGCATAAAGTAAATACCAAGATACCCAGTAACTAATGCAGGGCGATGTCCCCCTTGGGGGTTGTTCACACACTCAGGTGTTCATGGGTGTAGGGGGGCTGCTTCCGGTGACACCAGAAAACCGTTCTGATTCATTGGTCACTTTCGTATCTGATGAAGAGAGCTTTGACTCTTGAAAGCCCATGCCCCCCAAAATCCTGTGGGTCAGAAGAAACATCAGGGGAAGGCCTCGGCCTCCCTGCCCTGTTGCTGGCCCTCCAGAGGAACTGGCTGGCCCCTGTGTGAGACAGGAGGCTGGACTAGATGGACTCTCACTGGTCAGATCCAGCAGGGCTCTTCTGAGGTTCTTATCAGGGGATAGGGCTGCCAAGTGGGGGCGGGGGGCGGGTAACCCCCCCGCTTTGGAGGCCCGATTTCCGCCACTGTGGAATCAGGCCCCGGAGGGAACCCCACCCCCGGCGTGCACGTCACTAGGAATTGACGTTATGATGCCAGGCACGCTGGGGGCAGGGCCATGACCATCCAAGGGGAAACTCTATAGTTCCCCCTTGGATGGTCGTGGCCCCGCCCCCAGCATGCCCGGTGTCATAACGTCCCTTCCTAGTGATGTGCATGTGGCGCGAGCAAACGCGCGCGGTCCGGGATCCACACGGGAGTCCCCCGCTCCAGAGGTGAGTACTACTTGGCAACTGTATCAGGGGAAGGCCTCAGCCTCCTTGCCTGTTGTTGGTCCTCCAGAGGAACTGGTTGGCCCCTGTGTGAGACAGGAGTCTGGACTAGAGGGACCCTCACTGGTCTGACCCAGCCGGGCTCTTCTTATGAGATTCAAAGGGAACATCAACTGAAGGCTCATACCCCCCCCCAAAAAAAAACCCCAAATCTTGCTGGCCTCTAAGGAGCTACTAGACTGGAATCTAGCTGTCCTACTGTGGATCAACACAGCTATCCTCTGAAACTACTGATCACTTTAGTCGCTCTTTCCCAGCACAACAATATCCTTTTTGAGACACAGCAACGGCCACTGGCCCTCGACTGAATTCCCATCTCCGCCCACCGAGCCGAAGGGCTCTTTTTGTAGCAGGAACTCCTTTGCATATTAGGCCACACGCCCCTAATGTAGCCAATCCTCCAAGAGCTTACAGAGCTCTTCTTACAGGAGCTACTGTAAGCTCTTGGAGGATTGGCTACATTAGGGGGGGGGTCGCCTAATATGCAAATGAGTACCTGCTACAAAAAGAGCCCTGCCGGCGGGACCCACCCCTTAGGCGGTGCCACCCACATGGACCCTTACCTGAACTGAGCGCTGTCTCTGCAGAGTTCGACGTTCGGCCTGAAGGAGCGGTCGTAAAGCCTCGTCTGCGCCACTTTGAGGGGCGTTTCTTTATCTTTGATGGCTTGCTTGAGCGCCGCGATGTTGTATTCCTGATCCCCAATCTCCTTCAGGGTCTATCGAACAAACGTACACCGGTGGACATGCTGTACACTCTGGGCAAGACGCAGGGATGCATCTACCTTCTAGTGAGTCAGAACCTCGGTCCATCTCGGACAGTGCCATCCACTTGGACTAGCTGCAGGTCTTCAGGGATTTAGCCAGACAACAGGTTTTCCCAGGGCTATTTTGGGGCAGGAACGCACAGGAACGGAGTTCCGGCTGGCTCCCAAGTTGGCCACGCCCAGCAGGGACTCATTAGCATAATAGGCCACACCCAACAGCAGAAGCCCATTAGGATTGGCTACATTAGGGGTGTGTGGCCTAACATGCAAAGGAGTTCCTGCTACAAAAAAGCCCTGGGTTTTGACAACAAACAAGGTAAACAGAATAACAAGCAAAAGGTGGGTGTGGCTGGATGACCACACTTCTGGTAACATGGGGGTGCGGCCTAATGCGCTAATGAGCTGTGCTGTCAGGGGTGTGGCCTAATATGCTAATACGTTTCTGCTGTTGGGTGTGGCCTATTATGCTAATGAGTTCCTGCTGGGCTTTTTCTACAAAAAGAGCCCTGGCGTTTTCCCAACAAAGCCACTCCCTGAAAGCCCTTTAACATCTCATTCGGTTTTTGCTTGTTTTCCTTACTCAGAAAGCTTGATCTAACATCTGATTTGTGCACAAATCCATTCCCCCCCCCCCATAAAATACATCCCAATGCTCCCTCTAAGCTGTGGAGTCTCGTGAGCAAAAATTCTACTTTGTGAGCTCCTGGCATGAAAGTTGTGAGCGAGCAATTTGGCTGCTGCATCAATTAGTTTGCTCTGGAGCCCTCCTTCTGGAACTAAGACAAAAATGGGTGAGCCGGAGGCTAAAAAACTGTGAGCTAGCCCACACTAACTCGAGCTCAGAGGGAACGCTGGTTATGATATCCTTCAGTGCTCAAAATAATGCAGACTGTGACCTTAACTTGCAAGTGACAGATGTGGATTTTTTAAAAGTTTCAGTTTGGGGATACCGCTCTGAAAAGAGACGATGCTGCAACTTTCCCAAGAGAAACAGAACTTGCAAGTGTGAGGGACCCCGGGTTTAGCTTTGTCACCAGCTCTGATTTCCTCTTTAGGAACTTGTTTAAGTATATTTTACAAGCAGCACTATTCGAAAGGTCAAGCTAACGTAAAAATAAATATTATCCAAAAATATGTTTTTATTTATGGTGCATCCAACGGCAAGATATTAAAAGATTAAAAACGAGCGGTTTTTATAGAACATCGACATGAGTTTGAAACAAGCTGTAGCCATCTTACACACAAAGCTGATGATTCCACATACATATTCGATGCATACATCTAATGACCAATAGGACCAGGGCTATTTTGGGGCAGGAACGCACAAGAACGGAGTTCTGGCTGGCTCCTGAGTTGGCCACGCCCAGCAGGAACTCATTAGCATAATAGGCCACACCCAAGAGCAGAAACTCATTAGGATTGGCTACATTAGGGGTGTGTGGCCTAACATGCAAAGAAGTTCCTGCTACAAAAAAAGCTATGGGTTTTGACAACAAAAAAGGTAAACAGAATAGGAAGCAAAAGGTTGGTGTGGCTGGGTGACCTAATATTGGGGTGGCCTAATATGCTAATAAGCTGTGCTGTCAGGGGTGTGGCCTAACGTGCTAATGTTTCTGCTGTTGGGTGTGGCCTATTATGCTAATGAGTTCCTGCTGGGCTTTTTCTACAAAGAAAGCCCTGAATAGGACTATCACCAATGCTCCCTCTAAACTGTGGAGCCCTGTGAGCAAAAATTCTACTTTGCGAGCTACTGTCATTAAATTTGTGAGCAGGTGATTTGGCGACTGCATCAATGAGTTTGCTCTGGAGCCCTCCTTCCTGAGCTGAGACAAAACTGTGTGAGCTGGAGGCTAAAAAACTGTGAGCTAGCTCACACGAACTCAGCTTAGAGGGAACACTGGTTATCACTTCAATATAAGATCTGGGGGACCCCGGTTCGACGCCTCCCTGTGCCGTAAATAAAATGGAGGGGAGGAGAAAGATGTAAACCGCTTTGAGTTCCCATTGGGGAGAAAGGTGAGGTATCTAAACAACGCAAATCAATCAATCAATTGTTGATTTGAGGCATCTGATGGGATCCATGATCACTCAGTATACAAGGGCATGGAATCTATCATAGCCGTTCCTTTGGAGCTATTTCAACAATGAGTAAGGCTCGACAAGGTACGTCGATGCCATTTCTGCAGTAGCAAAATCCCCCGCAGTGACGTTTTTAAAACGGCGCGTTATGTGAAATTCTCCGCAGTCGCTTTTTCCTCACCAGGCGCAAACCCAACAACGTTGTCTCCTCCCTACCCCGCGTTTTCAGAATCCCCAGTTTTTGCGCGTTTCAAAAACGCTGGGTAAGAAGGAGAAAACTTCAGATTTGCGCCTGGTCAGGAAAAATCTACTGCGGAAAATTTCACATAGCGCAGAGTTTTTTTTAATGCCAGAGTGGGGGATTTTGCTACTGCCATGTTAGTAGAACCAGAGGCCCTGGGAAGCCTTTGAGCAGGGCCTAGGGACCAAAGCCTCTGTCTCTTGCTGTGGCTCGGCAGGGGTATTTACAGATACACTGCCTCTGTATTGAGAGGCTCTCTTTAGCCCCCATAGCACCCAGGACGGAACAGCGGCGCTTACCTTCTTCAGGTGATGCTCTAGCTTCTGTTTGGCGTCCTCCATCTCCTCGCAGCGCCTGGCGAAGGCCTCGTTCACCACATCGCACTGCATGCGCAGGTCCTCGGCCGTGTCGTGGAGGATGTTGTCGATCAGGGCCCGGAGGTTGATGGAGGCCAGCCGCTCACGCTCGGCCCGGTAGATGTTGTCGTGGCTGTACTTGGCCCAGGTCTCCGGCGTGGAAGCACTGCAAGGCGAGGAACCGGGGGGGGACCACGTGGATCGTGGACCCCCGCCAAGCGGCTGTTAGGTTTTTAAGGTCTAATAAAGATATGCGAGTGTGCCCCGTGGCATCACGGCACATCTCAAGGGACTCAGTGGTCAGGTTTGCAGGCAAGAGGTAGAGTTTCCGGCCCCGGCGTCTTGTGAGGGAGGGTCTCGGGCAGTGGAGAAAGGGAAGATCTTTCTCAGAGAGGGGAGCTTGACTCCCGTAGTTTCCCTTTGCCCTGAGCAGGGAGACTTAACCTAGAGCAGGGGGTCTCCAACCTTTTTGAGCCTGCAGGTGCATTGGACATGACGACACAGGGCAAAATGGCCGCCACCGGAGGCAGAACCAAGAACAAAATGGCCACCATGGGGGGCGGAGCCAACCACAGAATGTCAGGAAATGGGGTTATGCATAACTCTCATAGCAACTCTTCAACATTTCAGGCCAGGCTTCCCAAGTACTTACAGTGATTCGGCGGGGGACACAGACGTCCTCACAGGATCATTCCCGCGGGGACAACAGACGCGCCGCACCATGCCGTCGTCAGGAAGTGACGCTGGGCGACGCTCTGGCAATGGGGCTGGAAACTCGATGGTACCATCGAGTTTTCAGTCCCATTGCCAGAGCGTCGCCCCGCGTCACTTCCTGGCGACGGCATGATGTGTTACAGGGCGGAATGGTCCGGCCGGGGAGCATGTTTCCCCGGCCGGACCACGGTAAGTACTTGGGAACCCTATTTCAGGCAGAACCTCTGCTCCACAGGATGCCTTTTGAAATGAACATAATGTTTTAAAACATTTCCTCACATGGACAGCGCAGCTCAGTGGCCGCCGCCACCAAAGCAATGTTTTTAAAGAACCTGCACAGCCAAGCAGATCTCCGGTGGCCAATCAAAAGCCCTCCTGGGCAAAAGTGTTTCTAAAAACACATGTCGGGCACCAGAAAAGCTGTTGGCGGGCACCACGTTGGGGACCCCTGAGCTAGAGAAACTGAGAGCCTCGCTTGGTTGAAGACAGCTTTGTACGTTACATACAGAAGTCGCACTGCATTATGGGCAGGCCCATAACAATCTGCAAAGGGTCTCACTCCTCTATGTCCCTGGCGTTTGTTTTTGTGTGTGTGTTTTTAGAGGGAGATGTCTCAGCCAGGGTCCTCCCCACCTGTCCTCGAATTTCGACGAGCTGGGGTGGAACTGGATGTTGGTGCTCTGGTTGTTGTAGCGGCCGCACTTCTCGTCGATGTTGTACGTCTCGAGCTTGTCCGACCAGTCCATCTCGCAGATCTGCTTCTGGTCTCGGTTCAACCTGGAAGGGAGGGAGGGAGGGAGGGAGGGGAGAGGTGGAAAGAAAGCAAATAGAATGGGGGGGAGAGGAAGGGATGGAGGGAGACAGAGGGAGGGAGGGAGAAAAGAAGGAAGGAAGGAAGCAGATGCTCTACCACTGGGCCACAGCCCTCTCCCAACATGTAGGTCAGAGGAGGAGGAAGAAGAAAGCAAATAGATGGGGAGAGAAAGAGAGAGGGAGGGAGGGGAGGGGAAGGAAGGAAGGGGAAGAGAAAGAGAGAAGAAGAGAGAGAGGGAGGGAGGGAAAGAAAGCAAATAGATGGGGGGGAGGATCAATTGTGTCCTGAGCTTTCGGGGATCTGTATGATGCTCCAATGGATAAGTTTATCAATCACTCACCCCCTACGCATTCCTCAGAATTATATCCCCCCTTTGTTCCAAGAATCTGATAGTGGTGTACATGGATGGGGTTGCTACCAGTGTTCCCTCTAAGCTGAGCTAGTGTGAGCTAGCTCACAGTTTTTTAGCCTCCGGCTCACACATTTTTGTCTTAGCTCAGGAAGGATGGCTCTAGAGCAAACTAATTTATGCAGCAGCCAAATCGCTCACTCACAACTTTAAAGCCAGTAGCTCACAAAGTAGAATTTTTGCTCACAAGACTCCACATCTTAGAGGGAACATTGGTTGCTACCCCCATTTCATCCTCACAGTACCCCCGTGGTATAGATTAAAACTAAGAGGTTGTCCCAAAGCCTTCAAGTGATGAACTTCATAGCCCCAAACCAGATCTCTATAGTTCATGTCCAGCGCATCACTGTAAATATGCTGAGCATTTGCATAGAAATGGTCAAGAACTCCTGATTCTTCTCTCAATTCTGTTCTTGGTTTTTGAGGCCCATTGCTTACCATTACAGTTCTGTGTCTGCATGTGAGTGTGTAGACATTTATATATCCCAGCTGAGCATAAGGTTTTGTGCTGAGTCGATTCTGGTCTATGAAAACTTCGGCCGCAATTACGTTATTCTTTATGATGCCACAAGATTCTGCATTTGTTTTTATTCTTTCTTTTGGCTGAGGAGATTGTAAGACGCTCTGAGACTCCTTCAGGTAGTGAAGTGTGGGGTATAAATCCAATCTCCTCCTCCTCCTCCTCCGCCCCCTCCTCCTCCTCCCCCTCCTCCTCCTCCTCCTCTTCCTCCTCCTCCTCCTCCTCCTCCTCTTCTTCTTCTTCTTCTTCTTCTTCTTTTTCTTCTTCTTCTTGACTTCTTACACCTGACATATCTTAGGACCTCAGCATGTCTGAATCTGGCTGTACTTCTCTGGAATGAGCCATTTCTTACGGAAGACTCTTGGATTTGGCTTACAAACAACTGTTTTTATCCCAACTTCCAGCTGTGTTTTTAATGGGGCCTGAATGTGTGAGAGATTACGTCAGGGTTGTGCTGCCAGGCCTCCCAATATTATTATTTTTTTAAAAATGCAAAGTTGACTGTGCCACTACATCTCTTTGTTCAATTTCTATTTCTCCAATTCGATTTGTTTGAATCAAAAATCACTTCCTGGGAAACCTGGACATGGTGTGGAGTAGTTCCAAGACTCACCAGAAAGTCTATGGATTTATCAAAGAGTCTCCTGGTGATTCCTAGAATTACCCTACATCACTTCCAGGTTTTCCCTGGAAGTGGCATAGAAACTCAGCCAACATTACCAGGAAACATAACAGAATATGTCAGCGATTAAGTGATACTAATCTTAGTAATTATATAAAGAAAGAGAACTGGAAACAAAGAAATAAGACTGAAAATATGTAACAGCTGCTATACAAATTTAATTGAATTTCCCCTTTTGTCGTATTCCACACCCTGTAGCCTTCCTACCCTTATACTTCCTTCCCCATAATATATCCAAACTCAAAGAAATTTTTAAGGCCCTTTCCGCACTAGCTCTTAAATCCTGGTTCAACCCTGTCCCCGAACGTAGATTCTACACTACATGCAAGTTCACCCCTGTAATTATCTCGGGGTATTTTTTTGTTTCCACATTACACTGAGGTCACCCCAGTTTCGCCCCACACTTATCCTGGGATAAATAGATGCTGTTATAACCAGGGATAAATGCAAGGTATTGTGTCGCAAGTTGAACTCTGATAAAACCAGGGAAGAGAGCCAGTGTGGTGTCGTGGTGAAGTGCGCGGACTCTAATCTGGGAGAACCGGGTTTGATTCTCCACTCCTCCACTTGCACCTGCTGGATGACCTTGGGCAAGCCATAGTTCTGACAAGAGCTGTTCTCTCAAGAGCATTCCTCGAAAGAGCTCTCTCAGCCCCTCCTACCTCACAGGGTGTCTGTTGTGGGGGGCGGGGGGAGGAAAAGGAGTTTGTACGCCGCTCTGAGACTCTGAGTGAACGGCAGGGTATAAATCCAGTCTCTTCTTCTTCTTCTTCTTCAAGTGCAGAAAGGACCAAACACACAAAAACAAACCCACATTATTTTCCTATCATCTTCCTCTCCTCCTGATTCTGTCTACCACCTGTTCTTGACATAATTATGAGGTTTTGCGGTGATGATTATAAGGTTTGCTGTTTTGAGGCGGTTGTTGATCCTTTTATCAGCGTCTGGAGATCTGTGTCTCAGCTTCTGTTGCGTGTTGCGGCAGAAATGGAAAGGTGTGACACACAATGCTGTGTCAACATGCAGTCTGTGCTCGCAAACAAAATTTCTTGTGCAGATTTCCATCATCCCTCTTGCCTGTGGAGAGAGAATAAAGCCATACCCTGTCACACACTTTGGGGAGCATTTCTTGTTGTCTTTTTTGAAGCTCTTTGGTGATTTTTCTGTTTGTTTGGTTTGAGAGCTCGTTGGGAAGGCCAGTGTTGGGAACAGAACAACGCAGGTTCTATGTAGATGCAAGCAGAGTGTGACCAATCCAGAGTCAACCCTGTGTAGTATCTTCGGGTTTGTGCATGTGCATTTTACACACATGGGCACAGGAAGATATGAGATGCACCAATTATTTATCTCCTAGAGCAGTGGTGGCGAACCTATGGCACGGGTGCCAGAGGTGGCACTCAGAGCCCTCTCTTTGGCCACGCGTGCCATAGCCCCAGCCAGGCCCAGACCATCATTAATGTGTCGAATTCTCTGCCAAATAATTTTAAGTCAATGAAAGCATTTGGGATTGCTTTCCTTACTTTGTTTGGATCGTCTTAAGTTAATGTATGAGTTGTTTTTTCTAAAGTAAAACCTCAGTATTCAGGTTAAATGGCCGTGTTGGCACTTTGCAATAAATAAGTGGGTTTTGGGTCGCAGTTTGGGCACTCGGTCCCTAAAAGGTTCGCCATCACTGTCCTAGAGAATTGAGGAAGGCAACAGATTCTAAAGAATGACATGCTAGCAGCTCAAAACAGACAAGCCTATCAGTGCCATGGACAGGTTCAGATCAGCTATCTGACATGAAGCACATTTACAGTTGTACCTCTGCAAAGAGAAAGGCTAGTGACTTTTTAAAAAAAATGAAAGCTGTGATTTCAGAGATCATGGCAATTGATTGTTAGACTATTAGTGCACACTTTCACAAAACCCACTATCAACTTTTTAAAGAAGCCCTCCTGTATCAGAGCATGGGGAAATGGTGGCTTGCTGTATAGTTTGGTGTAGCGGTTAAGTGGGCAGACTCTAATCTGGGAGAACCGGGTTTGATTCCCCACTCCTCCACTTGCACCTGCTGATGTGACCTTGGGTCAGTCACAAGTTCTGGCACAGCTGTTCTTGAAAAAGAGCAGTTTCTGTCAGAATTCTCTCAGCCCCGCCTACCTCACAGGGTGTCTGTTGTGGGGAGGGGAAGGGAAAGGAGTTTGTAAGCCACGCTGAGACTCCAAGTGAAGGGCGGGGTATAAATCCAATCTCTTCTCCTCTTCTTCTTATTCAATGGAGCTATAGACAGTTTAATCAAACAAAATTCATACAAATCAATCATAATGTCAGCACTACGTATGTCAGCACTTGGCAGCGATTTTTGGTTTGGTATGCCAGCATGTAATGTAATCATTGTTTAGGAAACAGTAACTCTTTCAATGGCTGCTAGCCATGATGACTGAGAGGAACCTTCACATTCAGAGGCACTAAGTCTCTGAATCCCAGAACCAGGAGGCAACATCAGGGGAAGGCCTCGGCCTCTCTGCCCTGTCATTGACCAATAAGAGGAATTGGTTGGCCACTGCATGAGACAGGGTGTTAGACTAGATGGACCATTGGTCTGATGTTCTTCTCAGGGGAAGGCCTCGGCCTCTGTGCCCTGTTATTGGCCCTCCAGAGGAACTGGTTGGCCACCGTGTGAAACAGGAACCTGGACTAGATGGACCATTGGTCCAATCCTCCAAGGATCTTCTGATGTCCTTCTTAGAAAGAGGCCTCACCCTCTGTCCCCAGTTGGTGGCTGTCCAGAGGATAGGGTTGCCAGCTCCGGGTTGTGAAATACCTGGAGATTTTGAAGGTGGAGCCTAAGGAGGGTGGGGTTTGGACCATAATGCTGTTGCCAACGCCCCGAGGGTGCTAAGTTTCTTTGACTTGTGTGGCTAGCCAATAAACCACACCGTTAAAACAATCATCCAGGCAGTAAAGGGTAACAAAAGAATTTATTCAAATAAAGGGACATCCAACAGCTCGTAGATGTTCAATTTGTTATAGCCGAGAGCTTGCTTATATACTCTTCTTGCTCCTCCTCACTTTACGTCATCATTGACATCATTTAGACAAGCTCAGTTCAGTTTTCTTTGTCAGGTCAGTCATCAGTCTCATATTTGACACACCGGATGCTACTTGACTGAACTTCAATTCCTACGATGCATGTGCAGTGCTCATTAAAAATTATTTATATTCCCTTTTGGCTCGTTCTCCAGACTTCACCTTTGAATGAACTTTATACACATAATGAGGCTATCTTCATTTTCAGTATAAAACCTATCAGTTCTGTTACAAAAATTGGTTTTCTTCTATTTATACAAACATATATGTGACAAAAACA